ACAGTTTACACTGTTTATAGAACTCTATATAGTCGTTCATACATTTTTGCTGATTTCCACAACTGAATATTTTCTTTTCATTTCAGCCTCATGTGTAGTTTTCAGTAGTGTTCCTCACATTTGGATGTTCACATTCTAGTCAGTTTGACTGTTCGCTAAAGGAATAGTTTTGACTGTATGTGTTGATTATTCTTTATATTATTGTAAAAACTTGTATTCAAAGCTAAAGATAAGATAAAGAGGTGCTTTAGACTGCATAATGACTATTGCATTATAAATGCACAAACAAAACCACTAAAACATGTTTGTCATGAGTCATTCCCCCATTTTAATGAAAATGTATGTGTGGTGAAGTGAAGTAATCGTAACTTCATGCACACAAGATCTTATCTGTGTTCAGTGGTGTAAAGGAGCAAGTGTGCATCTAAATCACTTCCGTGCTTGCATCTGCAACCTTTTCTTCACGATCATTCTGTCACCTTGATTTAGTTTTTATTTAGTTTTGTGTGTGTGTGTGTGTGTGTGTGTGTGTGTGTGTGTGTGTGTGTGTGTGTGTGTGTGTGTGTGTGTGTGTGTGTGTGTGTGTGTGTGTGATAATAGATAAAAACACATGAAAAAAACATGTTCTATGTTAAAAAAGACAAAAGAAAAATTATTTCCTCAAGTTCTTTACAGTTTTTCACACTTGCTAAGGCCTATTTCTTTTCTCAGAAGCTACCCACTTCTTATAATGTGACCAAATCACTCAAAAAAATGAAATTGGGTGGTTGCTACATGCACAAGATCCAAACTTGTAATTTGAGCTAAATAATTCAATGTTTCTATGGTGAACGGAATTAAATCATGTAGCATCTGCATGAAATTCAGCAACTTAATTTGTTCTTGTAGAGATGACATGATACAATCTAGTAAGAGTGGCTGGATCCAGGCAACTAACCACTCTTACTAGATTGTATCATGTCATCTCAACAAGATGACATGATACAGGCTGACAGATGCTACATGATAGAAACATGGAATTATTTAGCTCAAATTACAAGTTTGGATCTTGTGCATGTAGCAACCACTCAATTTCATTTTTTTGAGTTGACTCACGAAATTCTAAAGAATGACGTACAAACTTACATGGTGCTGTGCATCTTGATGACTCTTGCAACCTTTTCTTTTAATTCCCCAGAAAAGAGCTCATTCAGGTCACAGAGGTAGTCCACTGGAATGTTTACTATGTGTCCCACCACTGTCAAAGAAGGAGAGCCAGACACGGCTGTAGAAGGGCATCAAGCCAAGAGGCGTGAGCCTCCTTGTGAGATATTATGTTATTAATATTAATATGTATTAATATTATGTTAAACCTACAAACATATATCGTGTTGAAACAACACAATCAAGATAGATTAACATAACATGATTTGTTTAGATGGAATATACGTGGCTAGATAAAATGAATTATTTCTTTGAGTGCAAGACTAAACTAAATATTAATTCTTTTACACTTTGAACACGAACTACATTCACCTCTGAGTCTCATGGCTACACCGCACAATCACATCAAAACAATTTTATCAGTGCTGAGAACCGCATGTTATCAGATTGCACTCATAAAACGTCAGGATAATACCAGAGCTCAGCACTGGTTACAAAAACAGAGTCGGGACATGTAAATCAAGCCTTTCCAGCTTCACGTGGCGTGTTGTCATCTCCAAAAATGTGCAGGAAAATCAGAAATCAATGTATAAAAACATCAATGTACACTACCTTCAGAGATATATTTACATATACACAAAGTCTATGTCTCATACTGCAGTTTGCTTATGAAAAAGGGCAGCTTCACACGTTTTCTCGTCCTGTGTGTTCAGCATTTTTTTTTTTTTTTTTTTGTATTGCTAAAACACAAACTCTGGTTCTCCAAAACTAACTCCCTGAATCAATCACTCTTTTGGCAAAACCTTAAATTGTTGTCATCTAGTTAGACACAATTTTCAATTCTTATTTAAATTCTTTTCAAAAAGCTCGAAACAAATTCTCACTCAATGGTAACAACAGGAAACACAACACGACTACAGCTCTGTTGTCATTCCGTGAACGCGACAACTCAAAATCGTTCACACTGATTGCTAATAAAGCGACCGGCGAGTTCCAGTGAGCTGAAGGTTTGATACCAAGAACGGGAGGAAACAATCAGAGAGGAGGCAGATGAGGAGGAGTGAGATCTACCACAATAAATCACTTCTAATAATCATGATGAAATTTGATTCTCTGTGATAAAACTGTAACAACCCAAATGAAAGAAAGTAGAAGACCGTAATTTTACTTATAAAAGTAATCTACATAATTCATTGTTTACTATAATGTTTCCTTGACTTATGCGTCTCAAAACCAAGCAGGATGAGAGAATGTGAAACTGTCCACATTCATTAGTCTAAGACTGGAGCCATATACAGCACGTATCACCTGTAAATGAGGGAAGTACAATGCTAACATAATCTTGAATCTTTACACTATACTCGTGTTTTGGTACATCACTTGCTGCGGTGTGAAACGGATGCTCAGTAGAGTTATTATCTTGACTGGTTGTGTATGTGATCTGAAGACACTGTGTGGTTTTTATTGCTGATAAAACTGTTCCCATGCAATCATGAGGTTTTGTCTGATGAGTCAGAGGTTTTGAGAAAGTAGTTTGAAAAGAGAAAGTCAGAGATAAGTATTATTAACAAATAATTAAATGCAGAGTGGTGTATAAACACACAGTGCATCATGGGAATCCCCCAGCAGCCTACACCTATTGCAGCACAACTAAGGAAGGATTCAGGGTCATCTGATGCAGCCCTAACTATATGTGTTGTCAAAAAGGAAACTTTTAAGCTTAATCTTAAAGGTAGAGATAGTGTCTGTCTCCTGAATCCAAACTGGGAGCTGCTTCCACAGAAGAGGGGCCTGAAAGCTGGGGAAAAAAAGCTAAAAAAAAAAAGTTAAAAACCCTAGGGACCACAACTAACCCCGCAGTCTGTGACCAAAGTGTTCTGCTGGAGTGATAAGGTCCTCTGAGGTCTGTGACATAAGATGAGCTGATTATTCAAGCTTATATGTGAGAAAGACTTTAAATTTGATTCTGGATTTAACAGGGAGCCAATGAAGAGAAATAACCAGAGTTGGCAAAAGTGCAGACATCCTGTACTTAAGTAGAAGTACAAATGCTATTAGTAAAACGTACTTCAGTAAAAGCTGAAGTACTGATTCAACGTCTTTACTCAAGTAAAAGCAAAAATGTACAGGCTCTCAAATGTACTAAAAGTAAGAAAGTAAAAAGTTGCTCTTTGGAGGATTGGCTGAACTTTGTGCTTTATTAACATAATGATAAAATAAAATAGATTAGGATAGATAGATAAAATAGATGGGAATACAAACTTTAGGCTATTTTTAATTCTACTTATCCTCAGCTTGAACCAAAAGAAAAAAAAATCTTTGTTTTCTGTTTCCTACAGAGCCAATGTCTGATTTAAAAACATAAAGACTTTAAATTACCAGTTTATTAAACCCCACTGGAGCAGTCCGTACCTTGAAAGCTAAGCTCTCTTCTTTCTCTCCCATCCTGTCTTCCTTATCTTTCTCCATCTCTGAGTGACTTTAGCTCTTTTTTTTCTCTCCCTGTTAAACAGAGCAGCTGGACCTTTAGCCAGCAACACACTGTGAGACAAACGCCACACAAACAGTTTGTATGTTGCTGTCACTGATAGAAAAGTTCATTTGAAAGACCTAACGCTTAAAAAAGTCACTGTCTTTATTTATACTCGCTCCTGTTCAGTAGGGCTAAGTGTTGTGGCAATAACAACAACAACAACAACAAAAAGCACCTTCACACTTTTAACCCCTGAGTTTGGTACACACATCATCTGTTTTTATGCCACATCCTCTGGTGATTAATAAATGAACAGGACCGCCTTTTATGTGTTTCTGTTCAGGCTCAAATCGGTTTAAAGTTTGGATGTTCGCAGTGAGGAAATAGTACCTCCCCCCAAATGCGTTACGTGCCTGTTTTGAAAATGTAAGGAGCAGAAAGTACAGTAAGTAAAAGTAGGAGTAAAAGTAAAAAGTAGTAAAAAGAAAATACTCAAGTAAAGGACAGATATCTGAAAATTGTACTTAAGTACAGTACCAAAATATTTGTGCTTTGTTACTTACCACCTCTGGAAACAATGCAATTATATACAATAGACTATCAGGATGAGGCTTCCTTGCCACTTTAAAATATGTGATTGCAGACAGCCTGGGCAGCTTTAAAGCGGACTTAATGTCTATCACAGAGTCACTGCCGTTCTATTGGGCTCTGGCACTGTCTTTATTATGTTTCATGCAGAGTCTTTCCTAGTGTATATTTGAGGATGAAGACCACTCTATTTCACAATTTTTTATGTGATCGTCTTACTCAGAGAGACCTTAAACAGGCACCAGTTGGAAGTGAGTGCTGTTCATGCTTGAAAACCCCCCCAATGTGGCTGAATTAAAATAATTATGCAAAGAGGAGTTGACCAAAAGTCCTCCACAGTGATGTGAAAGACTCGTTGCTAGTTATTGCAAACACTTGACTGCAGTTCTTGTTTCCAAGGGTGGCACAAGCAGTTATTAGGTTCAGGGGCCAGTTACAGTTTTACTCTGACGTGGAAGTCCTGTAAACGGTATAACAGCCGTGTGTACTGATGTGTGGAAGGAGTCAGTTTTGAAAAAAGAGAACATGTTTTGAGTGCTGTTTTTCATTTTGGCAGTGAGTCTGTGTGTGGAGGTTTGTGTGTGGAGTTTTGACAAAGCAGTTTTTGTTTTGAGAAACTGAGCCACACTTTCTGGAAAAAAATTTTAACTTTTGAGGCGAAAAAAGAAACAGACAAAATATATTTTTTCTTAAAAAAAAAGATGTAGAATTCTACCTCCGGACTCTTCTCTGTGGACGGCAGGTGGCGCTCTCGGGTATCGCCACTCTGTGTTTTGTTCCGGTAGCGCTTCCGGGTTCTAATGTTTACATCTGGGAGCAGCTACAAAGCACACAGTTTGTTTTCCAGGCTAATGAAAACCTTCTTGCACGTTAAGAACAGCATGTTTTCCAAGTGCTAGGACCTGTGCACAGTCACGGTAGGCCCTCCATGACGAGTGCTGTAATTATTATGTCACGTGTGTTGTGTTTTAACACGTCAGCTAACAAATGTAGCAGGCTCATTCATGCTAACCAGCTAACGCTAGTTGAATTAATCTGTAAACAAAATCATGTTGGAGTGTAAAAACTATCCGGGACCATTGTCACGGTTTTTGTTTTATCGGGGGCTTAAATCAAAGGTGCTACGGCTTGATTGGCATTAGTGTCCTGTTAACTTTATCCATGGATGGAGTTCCTGTGTCATCAATGTTAAAGATTTCTTAGAAAAAAAGATTAAACGTATCCCAGAAGATGTACAGATGGACTGATTATGTTCTTTAAAGTAAGACGAAGGTTTCAGAGAATATTAAATGAGGTTAAAAAAATGTTGTATTTATTATACAGCTGTTTTTTTATGAGGGAAAAAACCTCATTCTGCCCCATGGACTCACCGACCACTTCATTAGGTATAGCTGGTCGTTGACAGATATCTAATCAGCCAATCGCGTGGCAGCAACATAGTACATTTAGGCATGTAGACATAGCCAAGAGGACGTTCAAACTGAGCATCAGTGACGTGGCTGTTGGCGGCAGATCTGCTGGTCTGAGTATTTCAGAAATTGTTGGATTTTTCCACAGAACCATTGCTAAAGTTTACAGAGAATAGTTCAAAAAAGTGAAAATATTAAGTGAACAGCAGTTCTCCAGGTGAAAACACCTTATTGATGTCAGATGTCAGAAGAGTTTGGCCAGACTGCTTCAGGCAGATAGTAAGACGATGGCAACTCAAACACCCACTCGCTACAGCCAAGGTATGCAGAAAAGCATCTCTGAACGTTGAAGCAGATGGGCTATAGCAGCAGAAGACCGCACGGATTGTCACTCCTGTCAGCAAAGAACAGGAAAATGAGGCTACAATTTGCACAGGCTCACTAGAACTGGACAATAGAGGAGTGAAAAACATTTCCTGGTCTGAATTTGACATAAAAAAAAACATGAAAATCATGGCTCTGTCCTACTTTGTATCAAAAGTTCCGGCTGCTGGTGATGGAGTAAAGGTGTAGGAGATATTTTCTTGGCACACTTTGTGCCCCTTAATAGCAGCTGAATATCACTGAAATACCACAGCCTACCTGAGTATTTCTGCTGACCATGTCCATTTCTTTATGACCATAGTGAATGCATCTTCTGATGCCTGCTTCTAATAGGATAATGCACCATGTCACAAAGCTCAAACGATCTCAAACTAGTTTCTTGAACTGGACTAAAATTACATCCACAGTCACAGAGTACTTTTGGGGTGTGGTGGAACAGTAGATTCACATGATGGGTATGTAGCCAACAGTCTGCAGCAACTGTGTGATGGTTTCATGTCAGTATGAACCAAAATCTCTGAGTAAAGTTTCCAGCACCTTGTTGAATCTATAGCAAGAAGAATTATGGCAACTGAAGGACAAAGAGGTCCAACCTGCTACTAACATGGTGTACTTAATAATAATAAAAAAATAAAGTGCTTGGTGAGTGTATGTACACGTTGATCCACGCTTCCTGCCTCCTTCCTCCTTGTTTGAATGATGACATCATTTCATAAGTTTTTACATTTTACAACTGGTTCTGGTTCTAAATGAAACTTTGGAGCAACATAATAAACAGGATTGATCAATTTGTAGTTAAAGTAAATAGTCTGAGGTACCTTGCTTGACAGAACATATAAATTTTTCTGTTGTTGGCCATAACAAAATGTAATTTAATCTTTAGTAAATGAAATCTCATTAAAAATAGGAAATGGGTTAAATATTTCTATATTTCCTGATGATTTTGCTTTTTTAGAAAGCCAAAACTCTTTGGTGAGCACAAAATATGCACAAAAAACCCTGATATGTACCTGTGGTTGTGTTTAAATGGAACTAAAACTCAGAAATGCTAAATATTTTAAATATTTTATTGTTTATTACACTGACACAGGCAGCCTTCACGAAATCAGCTGCTGACAAAAATAACAGTAAATGATGAAGAAGAAAAGTAGACATACAAGGTCTTCTGAGACGCCGCAAAAGCTCAGCAGGACGCCGATGCCAGTGGATGTCACCAGTGAGAAGAGGTCACCTGGAAACAGAGGGCGACCTCGGAAGACTGCCGCTGTAACCACAGACAGTTTCTACCTGAATGACTGTGCAACAGAAAAGACCACCGATGCAGACTTCAATGTGACGACAGTCGAAGACGCCCAGAAACATCCAGAGACTAAGTCCAGATCTTCAGGTTAGTGGCTCACTACGCCCGTTTTAAACACAGAAAGTTGATTTTAGTGTAAGCTATTGTGGGATATTTGTCATGTGATTCTCAAACTATTTAACTTGGCAAAGCCAGTGCTGACATCGAGTGCAGAAAAAACAATGTTACGGGCCTCTAGTCAGAGGTAGATCCTGTGTGTTTGGCACAAACCAAGTAAAATAGAGTATACTGTATATTTCTCTGTTAATGTGGACACTAGTAAATTGTATTATTGGAGCACTGTAAGATGAAATCAAGTTGTGATGCCCCCTCAGGTAGACTCTCTGCTGCTGTCTGCCGGCTTTGTCACGGGAAGTTTTCTCCGCGCAGCTTGCGGCACGCCTTCAACAAATGGCCTCGGGATTCCCTCAGTATTGTAGACGAGGAGTCAGACGCCGTGGCCCAGTCACCGCTTCTGTTCCACACAGACTTCCAAAGGCTGGTCGGGGTCCAGGTGGACCGTGACCCTCGGCTTTCGGAATTTATTTGCAAGAAATGCCATGCAAAGTTTTATAAGTGCCAAAGCATCCTGATCCGGTTTCTGCAGAGAGTCAATCTCCCGCCTGTGGGGAAGGAGAACCTGAAAAATCAGTGAGTCAATAAAAAAACAAATATATCTACCTGAGGGTGACTGTAAAGTGTTTTTACTGCAGAAAAACATGGGGAAGTGTTTGTGTCTGTTTCAGGAAGAATGCAAAGGGTCCAGAGTCCTCTGTAAACCATTGCTCATCAAGTAAGTAAAACATTACTTCCTCACTCCATCTTGCTGAAGTTCCATAAGTTGAACTGTTTTAACAGGCTCTTCTGTTTTCTTCAGCTCCCTCATCCTTTACCTCAGACACAAAGTGCCTCCACAGTCTGGTGTCCTGGGCTCATCACCACGGAGAGGCCTGCCGCTCCTGCCCCGACCTGAAGGAGGTGCTGGAGGGCCAGTGCCTGGGCGCCATTAAGGCTGTTTGGGGTTGCGTCAATGGTCACAGATACATCATGGACACTCACCGCAGCACTACCTCCAACCAGTGCTCCAGCAACAGAGCATTAGGGAGTGGGAGGGGTGATGGAGCAATGTCAGAGGAGGAGGAACAAGAACAAGACGGCGAGGAAGACGAAGAGGAGCAATCTGGCGGGAACGGAATGACCTCATCGAGAAGTACTAGTACTGTGGTTCAGCGCAGTCCACCTGCAGCAACGGCTCAGACGCAGAGCTCAGCGCCTGATGACTGGACGGGCGACAACGAAGGTGGGAATGCTTACAGTCGTTCAGACTAACACTGAGACTACCGGTGTATCAGCCCTCTTCAGTTCTTTCAAGATGTTTTATGTTGTACAATAAAAGACTCGCACAAGATCAGAGATAAAACCCCAACAATCAGATAATCACTGTGCTCAGTGATGGGCAGCCACCTCCTTTCGATGTGTAGGAGCAGCAGCTTTACTCTGAGCACCTCCCAGGTGGCTGAACTTCTCACCCTGTCTCTAAGGGAGAGGCCAGTCTCCCTTCAGGGGAAGCTCATTTCTGCTGCTTGTATCCGCGATCTCATTCTTTCGGTCACTACCCACAGCTCGTGACCATAGGTGAGGGTGGGAGGTAGATCGACCGATAATTGAGAGCTTCGTTTTTACATTCAGCTCTCTCTTCACCACAAGGCTGAAGAGGCTGAGGAGTATGATCCCCCTATAGTTGGAACACGACCTCCGGTCCCCCTTCTTAAAACTGGGACCAGGAGTCCCAGCTTTAAGAGGAGTTTTTTTTTTTAACTCCCTCAGTGACCTCGCCCCTGGAGATAGGTGAGTCGTCCCCCTTGTCCCAAGACTCTGCTTCCTCCATGGATTAAGGAGGTCCTAGAAGTATTCCTTCCAGCACTCGACAATCTTCTCAGTCAAAGTCAGCAGCGCTCCACCAGCACTATACACAACGCAGGTAGAGCACCGCTTTCCCCTCCTGAGTCGCCTGACTGTTCACCACAATCTCTTCGAGGCAGTCCAGAAGTCTTTTTCCATGGCCTCGCTGAACTCCTTCCACACTCAGATTTTTCCTTTATCCACTGCTCGAGCTGTGTTCCGCTTGGCCTGTCGGTACATATCCCACAGGCTAACCAAGCCTGATAGGACTCCTTCTTCAGCCTCATGGCTCCCTTCACCTCTGGTGTCCACCATTTGGTTGGGGGATTACCACCACAACAGGCACCAACCACCTTGCAGCCGCAGCTGAGTGCAACGGCTTCGGCAATAGACGTGCTGAACATGGTTCATTCAATTCAATTTTATTTTATTCATATAGCACCAAATCATACCAACAGTTGCCTCGAGGCGCATTTGGACTCAGTGTCCTCAGTCTCCCTCGGGATGCTGTTGAAGATCTTGCAGACCATCTGCACTTAAATGTTCATATTTTTTATTTTCATCAAATAAAAATATATGATTGACTCACATCAGCGTGTCTGAATATCAGTTCATTTTGAAGAAATGAGAATGAGTGTTTCCAGGAAGATAAAATATTAAAGATGTGTATTCATTTTTGGAGACTCGAGACTGATGTGCACAGACATTCCAGCTGAAATATAGAAAATACTTTTTCTTCTTCTGCACATACTGAAACCCATGTTAAGACCTCATCATTGCTCATATTAACATTTTCTCCTCCTCTCTCCTTCAGATTACACAGGTCACGAGGAGGCCTTGTCTCCTGCTCCGGGTCAGCTGGAGGACAGAACTGCTGGCAGTGATCTTTCTGACAGGTTGGTCCCACAGTTCATATTTACTGGTGGTTTGGCAATTATTAGAAATTGAAATTTTTCTAATTTTGTGTTTGTGTGTGTCCAGGGTCATCTCTGAAGATGAGTTTGATGAGGGTAGAAAAGGAGGGCTGTCTGATGAGGAGTTTGAGCCATACTCGGAGAAGAGGTGGGTGCAAATAGAAAAGATGGGCCTGCTATGGTGAAGTAAAGGGAGTGGAAACACCGCCTTATCTCACTATCTGTTATCACCGGTCTACGGGGCCTTTAGTGTAGATCAGCCTGTGAATGTAACACGATAACGGCCGATGTAGATTTGATTAGTTTAGTGTTAAGTCTTGCCAGTCAGCAGCTGTGCAGGCTGTTATTATGAAGCCTCTAAGTTTGGGTCTCCATTGATATACAAGCAGCATGTAAAGAATCACAAGTCTTTAAAAGGTTTGCTGACTGGCCACAGTTACACTCTGACAATAAAGGGTAAAAGAAAGAAAAAACCTTTACTACAGTAAAAATGAGAAGCCTGTGCCTGCTACCACACAGCTGCTCTATAATGAACCTCAGCTGTGCACATACATCAGGGCAACAGGCTCATGTTTCCTGGTTGAGCTGTTAATTTGCTCTTTGGATGGGACAGTGACCACCTTTGCAGTTACAGAATATGTTCCATGTCTTTCTCTCATAAGCTCTCACTGAATTTATTTTCCCCTTATCCTTCTAGAGCCCACAGGGTCAACGTCCCAAACAAGAGAAGAAAAAGCTCAAAGGCCCCAGAGGAGCCCAAAATCAGAAAGAAGCCTGGACCCAAGCCAGGCTGGAAGAATAAGTTCAAACCTAAGGGGTACGTGATGCAGCTTCCATTAAGGTCATTTTCAGCTTGGGTGTAGTTTATTCTTTGCTTCAGTTTTTTTTTTAGAAGAAATGCAGATTAACAATCTGTGTGTTTCTTTTTCAAAGGGAGGAGCTCCCCAACATCTACAAGTGTCCATATCAGGGTTGTACGGCTGTCTACAGAGCTCCCGATGGTCTCAAGGTCAGAATTCACTGCTCACTGTTAAATGAAGCCACCTTCAGTTGTGCATGTTTCCGTGCACTAGTTTTGATCTCCTGTATGAATAATCTTGGCTTGCTTTTCTTTAAAAATTTGGGATAGCGGTCTCATGTGACTGGAGAAATGCTTCTTTATTAAATATTGTTTAACTGTTTTCAGCAAGGTGAAACAATTCCTGAGCATAGCGCTGTCAGAGGTCTGTTTACTGCTAACTATAAAGTGAAATGAATTAAATATGTATGAATGAAATAAAAACAGATGAGATTGATTGTTGCAGATTGGTAATAGTATCAGAGATTAAAGATTAATAATGAGTTATTTCCATTTAAAATGAATTGTCCTTGACTGAAGGCAGTTAAAATGAATGAGAGCAAACGTGCTCTGCCTTCATCTGTATATACGACTGATTGTGTTCCTGTTTGCTGACTTTTTAGAAACACATCAAGGAACATCACGAGGAGGTGAGGGAGCGACCGTGCCCTCACCCTGGCTGCAACAAGGTTTTCATGATCGACCGCTACCTGCAGCGGCATGTCAAGCTCATCCACACAGGTGAGATGTCAGGTTTGACTGACTTTCTGGCTTTCCAGCTTTAGTCATCCAGCTTTGAGTGAGAAATAATTCGTTATAGCTGTTTTTATGCATGCTTTTCACATTTAGGCTGTTTCTGAAGAATGATACACGAATCTAAAAGCTTCCTCAGACACGTGGAACGCAGTACTGATGTTACTAAATCAATCATTTCCATTTCTAAGCATTTATTGTTAGCATTGCATAAATTAATGTTTATAAAGATGTTTTTTTTAACCTTACTTTAATGTCTGAATTTGTGGTTCATGCTCGTCGTGTCTGTGTGCTTCCAGAGGAGAGGAATTACATTTGTGACCAGTGCGGTCAAACCTTCAAACAAAGAAAACACCTATCAGTTCACCAGATGAGGCATTCGGGGGCCAAGCCACTACAGTAAGTCCTTTAACATTTTTGTAGCTCATGAGCCATCAAGCTCTTTTGGTGGCTTCAGATTGATTTTACAAACCTTTAATTGCTTCCTGTTTTCATCACAGAACCACAGAATATGCTTTCAACTGAACAAGTCATATATACCATCAAATGTATGCACATAGATTTATGTATCTCCAAGTTGGGAGATCATCTTGCTCTGGTGCATCCTGCTGACAGACGGTCATACTGGGATCAAGAGTTTGATAGCCAAGTCAAAGTTTCAGCCTATTTATCTCTCCCCCTCAAATTCAGGGATTTGGAAAACATTGATAGAACAACGAGATCAGTAAATGCCCTTTTTGACTGATATCAGAAAACGGGCCTCATCATCGTTTTTCTGGAACTGTTTTTACAGTATTTCAAATGTTTAGTCACTACAATTTTATATGGAAAGTGATGAGCTCGGAGCCTAGAGACCAAAGTCGTCTTCTGTTATTGGAAATAAATCTTTGAAACGAGACTTTCAAGTGTCAAAATAAAATAGAGAAAAATAGTGGCACAAGAACTGAGCCCTGAGGAATTCCATAAGTGAACTGATAAGAGGACAAACAGAAATTCACTTTTTTGAGAGAGCGAGAGGAATGAAACCCATGTTTCCCAGTTTAAAAGCCAGAACCCCATCAGGAGAAATGATAAATGCTTTTGTTTTTTCCTCCTATCAGATGTGAGGTTTGTGGCTTCCAGTGTCGCCAGCGAGCATCACTGAAATACCACATGACCAAACACAAAGCCGAGGCCGACCTGGAGTTTGAGTGCTTGATGTGCAGCAAGCGTTTCGAGAAGGCCCACAACCTGAACGTGCACATGTCCATGGTGCACCCGCTGACACAGGCTGAGGCTCAGAGGGGCAGCGGGCAGCAGCAGCAGACATACCCGGACCTACACACCATCACGCTGACCGGGGAGGTGGTTCAGCAAGAGCAAGACAGATGACAGAAGGAAGTCTTGATTCAAGGCAGAGATACTTGAACTGTGGCACAGGACCCAGAAACAAAACAGCAATGTAGCACGGAGTTTCATTTTAGCATCAGCAGTTGAGTTTTCATCCAGTGTTCCTTCACACTGACGCTCATGACCTTCTTAAGACTTTTCAGCCGATTTGTTGACGACACAGCAGAAAAGACATTAGGTAAGAGTTCAGTGTCAAAGCAATGTTTCTTTACATTGTGCAATTAATATAACGATTCATGAGTTATATCAATTACCTGATATTCAAATCATCCATCTTCTGCAACAAACACATTGCTTCCTGTAACTGTTTCCAGAATAAAACGGATTGTTTATTTGCTTTTATTGTGAAAGAGCAGCAGTAGGAAATGTGAGGCTGGCAGTCAGGATGAGTATATGGAGTGGTTCACCATATATCATATTAAAAGCTAGTACAATTATGACTCTGTGAAATCTGAGGATAATAACTTGAAAAGAGAACAGTACGGTGGCCCTGAGACCTCAACGCACTCATCACGCTGACTCTTGAAAGATAAAACAACCAAAAATTCCAAATACTGAAAAAGATGCTGCCAAGTAGACCAGACAGAAATATTAGAATATGAACTAAAATAAAATTTTACAGTAAGTTAAATCAGATGTTTTACACTGCTGCTCACAGTCTGACAATAACTGATTTCGTAGGCTTTGTGAGTAATCAGCTGTTAAGACCACCGTGTTGTTAATCTTGAATACCTTCATTTAATATCTGACATTCACATTACTGACTGTGTAACCGGCTTAAATGCAGCTGTAATACTGAGACCTTCTCTTTGCCTGATCCAAGTAAAGCGTCTGTATGTGCTGCAATTCCAGGAAGTTTTCTTATCGGCTCACTGCTTTTATTAAGTTATTACAAATCAAAGTCTTCTTTTGAATTGTAGCATTGAAAGGGCTTCAGGTGTACATGTGTGTAAGAAAGCGTGTAATGTGTAAAAAAAGAAGAAAAAAAAACCCCAGTGTGAATAAAACAGGTTTTCTTTTTACAAAGCTGAGTCTGAACAGTGCAGTGTTTCCACGTGTTTCTGTTGGAGGGAGGGTTGGAATATTAGCGTGGAGAGATCTCGGTCGATTAGAGGAAGTCCATCTCTGGGCTGGAAGGCTCGAGCTGCACAGACAGCGCCGCTGCCAGCTCCGGGTCCAGTTCTGCACTCAAGGATTCCAGCTGGACCAAGAAAACCACAAGCAGATAGGCGGGACAGGAAGGAGATATGAAGGTGTGAGACAGGTGTGAAAGGGGCAACGGGTAATATACATGCTGATGCACCTTCTGCTCACCTGTCGGAGCTGCCCCGAAGAGAGTAAAGTCAGAGGCGTTTGCGAGATGGCTCTCAGAAGAAACTGCTTGGTGCGGCCAAGGATGTGGGAAGGCTCCGCCTACCAAAACAGATGATGAACGTGAGTCCAGAGCAGTGTGCCAACTCCAATACTGCCATATGACCAGTTAAAAGTTAGAGTACAAACCACCAGCTGCTTCTTAGAGGATTCAGTGTCCAGTGATTGAGTGTTTCCTTCCAGGAAGAGCTGCAGCATGCTCAGGTAGCAGACGATGGCAGTATGGAGGAACCCTGGACAACGCACAGCTCTCTGTAGGAGCTCGGCGCTTTGCAGGAGCAGCAAACTGATCGGCCACGAACACAAGGAAATTTAGAAGGTACAACAGGTACAAATAAGAGGTGAGGTTGGAACTTCCATCTTGTCACGTTTGTGTGTTTTGGCCTGTTGTCGTTCCTAATGCGATGGTGTGTCAGCTTTAGTGCAGAGCAGCATTTAATTTATGTGGCATTCATGAATCAACCTAGCTGTTTGCAAGGCCCCACCTCCACTAAGCAGCTGCAACACTCACCTGCAGAAAGCCCACGGCATTAGTTTTGTAAAGTCATCTGACGTCACCATGGTAACCGACTGATAAATGCTTTGCTCTAGAATTGAGTGAAAAATAAAAACGCAGCACATCAGTTCAACCACATCAAATTCAAATCAGATTTAAAAGATGACCGGAGCACCGAGCTGCTGTTCACTTTACCGCTGGACTTAAAGATGAGCAGCCAATCAGGAGAGTCCATCAACACAGCCAGGAGCTCTGTGCATAAAGCCCGGCCTTCTTCATAGCTCCTCTCCTAGAGGAAAAAAAACCATGCACGTTATAAAACACAGACAGAAATAACAATACAGTCTTGTCTTTTCCTCTTCAATTTATTTTCCATTCATATCCGTTTCCCTCCTATCCCAGCTCTCATTGGTTGACGGGCAGGTGCTCACATGGACACAAATCCATAAAAAGGACTTTTATACACGCAGAATATCAAAAGCAGCACCAGGGTCCAGAGGTTGGGGTCAAGACCATACTGCTAATAAAATATTGTTATCCTACAAATTGAAATAAAATAAGCAATTATCATATTTAAATTGCTAATGTTATGTTCATATAAGTTGTGCATGTCTTCACAGTCAGTTCCTGTGTTCCTGGACTGTTTCTGTGTAGGATTCGTGGAACAAAAACAGACTAGACAAATGCATTGGAAAGACCTGTTTCCACTCTGAGAACTTGTTTATGAGTGTGAATGTTGCACAGTTCTAAATTCCAGCATTGTTGTTTAGGTGGTCAGTTACCTGAGGATATAGCAGTGTTGTCAGGTGGTCGTTAACGCACAGGAAAAGAAGGAAAACGAGCACCTGGAAGCAGAAACACAACAGCATTTTTGAAAAAGTGACTGAAAGCTTTGGAGACCAAATAAGCAGGATGGAGATGGGCTCAGTCAGACAGTGAACCTCTCAGTGTGATACTTTTGTTCTACTCTTCCCTTAATCAGAAGTTTAGATTTATATAACTTTAATCCACATTATTAGACTTTTTACCTTTACCCACTGTAAAACTGGTTCTATTATGTTGTAATCAAACTGCCTGTATGTGAATTGTATATAATAAATTTAAATATAGCAGCCGAATTAACAGCTGCTGAGAATGACTTCATAAAACCACCCAACGTCAGAAAAGGGCAGCAGCTGCAAGTCTTTTGTTGCTGTTGATTGGCTAACTTTGGATGCTCTGTTCAAAAGAGCACAGTGGATTAGTCTTATTAAACAAACCCTTTCAGCTCCTCTCACTTCTTTTAAGCCAGCTTTCGTCTGAGTGGCTGGTGGTGGGTGGGGCTTCTGAAGAATTCACAGTCTTTTGCCCATTAGATAGAATTAGATGGTGCACTAACTGTGAAAAAATGGACAGCATGCAGAATTAGTTTTATGCTCTTACCTGTCTGTATTTGGAGTCTCTGTCTGGTCGCAGGAAATTCAAAGCAGCTTTGAAGCTCGGCTTGTTTGCCTCACAGCCTCGCCAGACACGATGAAGGCTGGCCGCCAGCAGCAGAGCTGCAGCTGGAGGCATCTGCAGCAGCTGGCCTTTCTCCAAACTGCAGAGCAGATAGAAAGAAGAACTTTAACATGGGGTTTCTGTAGGGTTCACCAAGATAATTAGACACTTTTGAGAACTATTATAACCAAAGGAGGATTCATTTAATATGTTTCACCATAAGTGTAAAGCAACAAGCATTTATGTCTGCATCACATTTAAAGGACTACTCTGCACTAATGCAGCCACAACAAACCCCATGAAGCTCATGAAGGTGGCTGATACGAAGAAAAGTGTGCAAAGCTGTTACAGACATCAAGGCAGTCTAAGATGTGAACATATTTCATGTGACTTGTTCAGGTGTGAGCAGCTGTGAGGAGGTGTACATAATTTGCTGACAGTGGTTCATGAAGGAGGCGTTACCTGCAGGCCCAGTGCTGACATTCCGTGAGGAGCTGCAGCTGCTCCGGCAGCGTCTGTTCATCACACAGACGACGCCACAGTGACAACAGGACCGGACGGAGACGCTGCCACCAGTGCTGCACACGGACACACAACAAAGACGCTATATTCCTGTCATGTCTCTACACAACATCGCAGGCTTCACACAGGCTCTAATAGATCACTGATCTGTGATTCCAGTGATAAAAGATTTTAGGACTTTCTAAATATTGAAGGTGCCAAATGTGTTCAAAGGCATTTTAGTCAGAATGAACAGACAGTACCATTGTGGAGATCAACAAAACAGGACATTGCACGCTGATCTGAGACCAGGCTTTGTTGACTTCATATGTTGGTTGTCCACAACGTACACTGGCACCTAACAGACCCTGGAGAGGAAGCACACCTCTCAATAATCTCACAAGCTCACCTAAAGGTACAACCTGTATGAACTTTAGATTTCAGAAAGATTCTTACTCTCAGGAAGTGTGCAGTTATCTTGCAGGACAGCACGCCTGCTGGAGAACACGCTTTCCTCTAGTGCATGAACAGAGGGGAGTGCAGGTGAAGAAAGAGGTGAGCATAAAAAGTACTTTTTCCAGCCAAACATTTAAATCAGATTAATAAAAGACATTAAATGAGCTGCTCACCTGATGCTGGTTGATGTGTTCTATTAGCCTGTTGCAGCTCAGTGTTGTTCCCCCTCCATCAGTGTTTACTTTAATCAACAACACAGCTGGAAGAGCCAGGAGCACTCTGACACACACACAAACAGTAATTCAGTGGATTAACAATCGCAATGAGCCGACACGTATCACAGAACGAGTGTGCCAACAATACCCCATCAGCCTTATACAGCCCCCCCTTTGGCCACGCCCCTGCAATGCCTCCCTTCTCATATTTAACAGCGTACCTGTTCCATGTATGCAGCAAGCGCTGCAGGCTGACGTCAGTGCTGATGCTCTGTGAGGTCACTGTAGAGGAGCATCTCTGAAACAACACCTCAAACAGGAAGTCACCCACACCAGCTCTGCTGCCATGGCTGCCAGACCGCTCCATCATGTCCATCTCATAGACAAGCTCCTGCACATACACAAGCACGTAAGTGTTATTCACTAGTTTAACTGAAGTCACACAGACTGTACACTAATGAGTAAAACACAACATGGAAGCTGATGACGCTCCAGAAGCTGCTGTGCAACTTCTGTGTACGAGGGCTTTTATTTTTTCTGTTTTTACGTCTAAAAAAAGACAAACTTTACTACTACTGATATTTCTGCTTGTTCTGCAGAGTGAAGTGTGACACTTAAGGAATTTTTACCCATTCTGTAGCCATTTTTCACAAATCCACGCTCTTTAATTTTCAGGGCTTTTATTTTTTATTCATTGAGCATTCAGAATTTTTGTTGCATGTTTTTTAAATCAAATAAAAGGCTAAGATTATATTATTTTATTATAAGAATATATATGTAAGAAGATCACTTCACTAAAATATTTTTCTTGATCACAAAATGTTTTGTGTGAAGTTGCTAGCTTTAATACAATATACCTCAATATAAACATTATTTTTACCACACTTTATTAACTATAATGTCTACACAGCCCATCCATATGCTATTGCTGCAGAAATGGGGGGGAAAGGAACTTTTCAAAGTTACGTATCATTTTTTATAGTCATGAATACTTTTTTAAAATTTTACTACCTGTTTCACCAATTGATAAAACTGCAGAAACAGTGATAAACATTAGCATATAAAAGTCCAGATGGTGTTACTGATACACAGCAGTTTGACTGTTATACAGAAACAAAGCAAAACCGCCTTCTTTTTTTCCATATGTAATAATTTCTTAAATATTACATTAGATTCTTTGTTTTTACCAGGTTTATAATAAACAAGCTTTTCCGAGTGGTGCAGTTAGTGTACACGCACCTGGAGTCGGGACAGGATGTCTGGTAAGCAGGTTCCTCTTCCTGGCACTCTGTGCTGTTGTGCTTCCAGGCTCTGCCAACTGCTGACATCAAACATGCACACATGGACACAAATCCATAAACACTGTTTGTCAGGTTAACTGAACTTTTCCAAGCTCTAAAAGAGGTTTTTAAGTTACCACAAGCACTTTGCCTCTCCCACCGCGCCCTTCCTGACTTGAAGAAACATTTTTATTTGGGTTCTTGTCAAATATCTGACAGGTTCATTTT